AATAACGAATTTGATTTGTAATGTATTTTTAAATATTCTTTACATTATAGTAAAGATTAAAAATTATTTGAGTCATTAATATTCACTTTTTACATTTTTTTATCTTTTTTAAGAAAATTAAAAAAATAGCTTTTGAAAAATATAACATGGGTTAAAATTTATTTTTATTAATTTTCAAGTTCGTGTTTTATTTTAATCATTATTTATATGATTGTACGTATTTTAGTTTTTTTTTTTTTTTTTTTTTAACATTTTTTTAACCGTTTGATTAAAGCAATTGAACAGGCCGGTTTACCGATCGGACCGTTAAACCGCTTCCAGCCTGATGTCGCGTTCGAATTTGCTAACACTGGTACACTTACTCCCTCTCTTACATCTTATCTGGTCACAATTTCATTCAAGCTTCGGTGCAGTGAGTTCAACTTCTCTCCATTTCTTCGCTTCCATGAGATAGCGGACTCCTCTCTCTTCTCTTTCTCATGGCGATCGTGAGTACCCGTGTCTCTCTCTCTAGCTCCTCATCCCCAAGGCTCCGACGAAGCTCCTTCATATCCCCCTCTTCTCTTACCAAACTCATCAGCACCAGGAATCCATGTAAGAGAGCAGGTGGGCCTAGGGTTAGGGTTATCTCAGCTGTTGCGATATCCACGAATGCTCAGACGAGGGAGAGGCAGAAGCTCAAAGACATGTTTGAGGAGGCGTTTGAGAGGTGCTGGACCTCCCCAATGGAAGGCGTCACCTTCACTCCTGAGGAATTCCATGCCGCCCTTGATAAATATGACTTTGAATCCGAGATTGGTTCTAAGGTAAATCCCTTTACCATGTTCACTTTCTCTCTCTACCTTGTTTAGAGAGAGAAAGAGGGCTAATTGTTGAAGTTGAGGTCACCCACATACCTAATTCATTCTTAAGCTATTTAAGCTGAAACAGAATCTTCAGGCAATTAAATATGTGAACTTGGATTGTAGATTTCTCCTCTTTCTCTGTAAAATTCTCAGCAATTTCAGTCATATGAGGACATGAGGTAGCATATATATAGCAAGGTACATGTAGCATATAATCATTAGGTTCAAGTACCAGAATTTGCAAGTTCAATATTGGTTTTCTTTTTTCATGGAAAAAGAGATCAGCACAGTTCTCATTTTGATTGATGTGAATTGTGTTGTGCATGCAGTGTTTATTGTTAGTTTCTTACCAATGTCTTTAGTCTTCTGTGTGCTATGAGAATGGATATTCCTTTCTTCTAGATAATACTTTCATAAGAAAAAAAGTGCAGCAATGAAATGAGTTACTAAATATTACAAATATTATTAGTATAAATTAGCAGTGATGTTGTTCATGACTGTAGAGATGAAAGGCATGCTCTGCTGTGGTACCTCTGATATTAAAAGACTATAATTGAGAGTACCATTTATTTTTCTCAACAATCTATCAGGTCAAGGGATCAGTTTTTAGAACAGATGCAAATGGAGCTCTCATTGATATCACTGCAAAATCTACGGCATATTTACCTGTTCAAGAGGCATGCATTTACAAGGTGAAGCATGTGGCAGAGGCAGGCATTTTTCCAGGCATGCAAGAAGAGTTTGTGATTATTGGGGAGCGTGAAGATGATGATAGTTTGATTCTTAGCCTTCGGTCTATTCAATTCGACCTCGCGTGGGAGAGGTGCCGGCAATTGCAGGCTGAGGATGTTGTTGTTAAGGGTAAGGTGGGCACGTTTCCATGTTTTCCACCTTTTTATTTTCTATAGCAAACTTTATTTTTTCTTGTTCATTTGTGTTGCATGTTTGGTGTTTAGAAAAATCGGATGTCTTTTAATAAGGTATAAGCATTGAAATTGTTTATAAGTTGGATATATTGACACCAACATGTTTCTGAACAGAGATTTACTCTTTGTATATAAGAAAAGTTTTTGGTGAGTTGGCTGACTCATATGTACACCCTGATTTGGGCTTTAGAACCTGAAACACGCCTCATATTGCTTCAATCCACTCATGAATTTGGAGCTCCAAAAACAGTGCAGATCTGATGATCTTTCAAGAATTGAAATGGATAGTAAAAGAAAACACAATATGAACCATTTTAAGGCTCAAATTCTCTCTCTCTTTTTTAAGTTTTTAATCAGAGACATGATTGGGGTGGATATATCTGTACAGTTTAAATACGAAATCCATCTCTCCAAAATGCATCTCCAAGATGGACTTCGGAAGGGTAGACTTACTACGATCGGTAGGTCCCCAAGCACCTAAATCCTACACACATGCACATAGGCACTCATGCCTACACCCACCACACGGGCATGTGTGCATGTGCCTGTGCGTGTGCGTGTGCGTGTGCACATGCATATACATACATTACACTCGAGCACATCCACGTGCAGACTCAAACACATAGGGGGAGATTTCATGAAACTGCGTCAATTATTTGCTAGTGGCATTTGTATGACCCCATATTTTACATACACTTTCTTCGTCCTAAGGATCAATATCAAAAAGAACTCAAAATCATTTTTTTTATATATTGCTCATCTGGTGATGATAAGGCCATATAGAAATATATGGTCAAAACAATCTTCCTAAGGTCCAGATCTAACTGTTCCATCAAATGGACAACTTTCATTTAATGTAATTAAAAACCACTTCTTGGGGTGCATTTATTTAAATGTTATTTTTTAGATTATTCATCGAGATGAAGAGAGTATATCTTTAAAACGTGGGATCAAACATATGCTCATAACAGAGTATTTGAAGGAGCGAGGACCACACATGCAAGTTTCCTTGTGGCTCACTGTGATAACTTCTTTGGATTTTCTTGTGCTAGCCGACCAATCACAGAGTGGGTTTCACACACACAACAAACACATATAGTAGTTTTTCTATGGTGAACACCTCATGAAATTCTTTAGGTTACATTTATAAAGGCATGTGAACCTTCAACTTACTTTAATTTCCATGGTTATAAAACTGAGTAAAGGCATCTTTGTCATAGAAAGGATATTTTATATTTTCACTAAAAGACAGTGGTAACTATAGAAACTCTAGGTACTTTACTACATTTAATTGCATTTGTCTTTTAGTAAAGGGTGTGGTTTGTATAAGGCTGAGGCCGTAAACAATCAAAGTAAGGTGCACCTTGAAATAGTGTCCAAAGATGCTATGTTAGATTTGGAATTCTTTGTGATGGCTTGAAGATTTATGTTCATCTCTAATTATAAAATTTAAAGCTTCAAAAATAGTGTAGATCAAGCAGATCTATGAATACTTAACAATGTTGAAATTGACCAGAAAATGCATTACAAGATGCACTATTTCCAAGACTTGAAATCTATTTTTTTTCATGTTCATACATCTTGAGGTCGAGATGATCAATTTGAGGATTTTTGGGCATCAAAACAATCTCTTCTAGTGAACTTTTGAGGTGTGCGTTAATTTGATTGTTTAGGGCCCCACCCTTATATAAACTTTTTCCTTTAGTAAAAGTTTAAAAAATGCCCTTCTCAAGATAACAAAGATGCCCTTTGTCTTTTAGTGCAAATGTCAACAATACCTTTTCCAATAACAAATGTGATCTTACTCATTTTATAAACGTGGAATAAAGAATTGGGCAACTAAAGTAATTTTGATGATTCACATCCCTTTCTAAATGTAACGTATAGAATTTCATAGTATATTAACAATAGAAAAACCCATTAGTGTGTGTGTGTAGAGAGAAAAGAGAGAGAGGGAATAAATAGTATGAATTTTGAATTCATCATCATCGTCAAAGCCTTTTTCAAACTAATTAGGGTTGGCTACACAAATCCCGATTCATCATTCTTCTCTATTAAAGGTCATACACTTAGTGAGGCCATAAGTCTCTATATTTTTTCTCACTACTTCCAACCATGTCTTTTTGGGCCTACCTCTTGTCCTGTTTGAGCCTTCCACTTGAACTAACTCGCACCTCCTAATGGGTGTTGTATTAGATCCGTGCCACATGTGGCCAGCCTACCTAAGTCCACTCTCTCTCATCTTATCGCCTATTGGTGCTACATCTAAATTTTCTTGAATGTGTTTGTTTCAATTGTTATATCTTTTTGTGTCGCCACTAATCCATCTCAACGTCCTCATCTTCGCTACACTCATTCTATGAATTTTGAATTCATTTCTAAAAATCATTTCTCCCTCTAGTTTTCCTAAGGTCTCTTTCAAAGATAATGAATAAGTTTTCTCCTCGCATTCCATTCTCAATCTCTATCTCTAAGAAAATTCAATGAATGTGTCCCTCTATCTAACTCCAATCATTTCCGAGATTCTGTCTCTCAAAGGTGTAGAGACAATTGGACTTGTCTCTTATGTCTTTCCTAAAATGTCAAATCTCTTATTTAATTTGACATAATTTAATATTCATAATTTAAAATATCTTAAAATTTGTGTTATGATTAAATGTCATAAATTGAAAATATTTTTATAAAGAAGTGATAAAATAGGATTTAGTTCGGATTATTTTCTTAAATTTTGAATCTTATATCCTATATTGGCATTTATTCTTTTTGAAACAGAGAGCATTCATTTGGAAAAAAATTGAATTTTTATCCTATATTAAACATGTTATAAATAGTAAATTTCTTAAGGAAAGTTGAAAAATCAAATTGCTTTATCATGGCACAAATTAGTTAAATACTCAACAAAAGAAAATGTAATAAAAAATAGAAAAATTATGATATTTTTAAAATTAAAGTATCATACAATGCATGTGCAATTAGCGTACGTGTGTGTGCGCATGTTTGTGTCTGCATTGGGAATTTATATATTACTCTCGACATCAAAGCTGACTGTTAGTCTAATTCCTGGGTGGTATACACTACGTATTATGCCGGAAACTTTCCTTCTGTCATTTATCAACATTGTCAATGAAGATATTAGAAGAGGTTAAATGTCTTTGGTGATCAATATGTTATGGTGATAACGTTGTCAATGAAGATATCAGAAGAGGTTAAATGTTTATGGTGATCAATATGTTATGGTGATTTGGCTCTTTCCCATTGCTATGGTTTGCTTTTAGTTTTCTAATAGGAACCATTTTTTACGTTGTCCTTCATATGCCCATTGGTCTCAACATTGTCAATGGAGATATTAGAAGAGGTTAAATGTCTATGGTTATCAATATGTTATGGTGATTTGGCTCTTTCCCAGTGCTATGGTTTGCTTTTACTTTTCTGATATGTATCAGTTTTCATTGTCCCTGTTGTAGGTGGACTCTAGATTTTGGCTTATGGTATCAAAGTCAAACAAACTATGGCCTCACTTACACAAGTAGTAAATTTCAAATCATGTTTATAGACGAGTTGATGATAGACACGTCATGGACGCGGCATGTCATTCTTTCTTTGAGAACAACCCCACTGAAAAATGCATAAAATGGCTAATTAACCTTATGCAAGTTCTTACAAGGCTGCGACTATCTTTTTGTCTCTTTATATATTCTGGGGTTGTTTTTGGCTGTTCACCTTCTTTTGGTTCTACGTCTCTCTACAACCCCTGTTTTCTCCTTTTTTGCACGTCGTTGTAAAGGGTGTTGCTATTAGACCCTCATTTATTGTACAGGACCTCTTCTTTGAGGATACCTCATTTTTAGGCTGAGAGGCCCGGCTTGTGGGCGCTCTATTTGGACTTATGTATTGCGTTGCTTATTAAATACAGTGTTAACTTTATCAACAAAAAAAACCTTATGCAACTTTAGAAGTGCATTCTGTAGCACAGAAGATCTATGCAATATTCTCGTACACAATGTTGTAAATTACATGTCTCTTTTAATGTACATATTTTTAAATCCATGATTCTATCATTGCATCTTCTGAGTTTTGATAGGATTTTCTTAATTGTGACTGTATATACTAGACTTGTAGGATGGGCAAAGTATTTGATAGGATTATCTTAATTGTGACTGTATATGCTAGACTTGTAGGATGGGCAAAGTATGAATTTATAAATTGATGCCACAAAAGGGTAGATTGAAGATATCCTACCTGGGTCTTCTAGGGTGGATTACTGTAGCTCTATGTCAAGCATAGACGTAAGTTTTGTAAACTATGTTCACCATAACACTTCCCTCCATGCATGTGTTGTTCAGCCATTAGCAGTAGGTTTTTTTCTTATTATGTGAGGTCTATATCAATGAAGAGATATATATGCATGAATGAGATGCTCGTCAGCATGTCCATATTCCCCTTTCGATAATTCACATTACTTTCATGCATATTTATATCATGTGATTCCCTCTTGAAGGATTGTGTGCTTCTTATATATTAGTGACTTGGGGACATATGCCAAAAGAGCCAAATTTAATACAAATGATGACAAAGGACACAAAGAATAGGACGATATGCAATTAACTGCACGATTACTGTGCTGCTTATTACCTGTAGAATTTTACAAATAGTAATTATTCTAAGAGAAAATCTTTTTCATTTTAATGAAAAAGTACCAAGTATGAATAACTCAATATGCAATGTGGCTGGCGGATTAGATTATGGCCATGGAGATCAAAATTTGTCTACGGTGCTAGTATTAATTTGATTGTTGTGTTATGCTCCTATTTATATATGCTTCCTGATTTAAGTATGTTTCCTAACAATATTTATTAGTTAGGATGTTTATTTTGTTGGAGATAAACATGGTTTATTTGAGTTTTTCCTTGGTACCACTACACAATTGTAAAAATTTATAACCTCATACTGAAGAACTTATGTTTAATTTTGGGACATGCAGATTATTGGAGGTAATAAAGGAGGAGTTGTGGCTGTAGTTGAGGGCCTAAGAGGATTTGTTCCATTTTCACAGATATCGACTGTATGTTCTTCAACTTATTTGTTCCTTATGGGACATTTAAAAATAAAATGTTTCCATGACTTGTTTATTAAATAAGCTAATGAAAGGCACTTGTCTGAACTTATTCTGCCTCAAAATCTAGTGGATCACAGTAGGAAAGGTTCCTTTGTTGGGTCAGTTTGATTTTAACTTTGCGGCTTGTAAAGTTGTACTATCTTACCCAACTGCTATTTTTTGACACATCTCTGAGTTTCTTCGATATGCATTCTTAATTTTCTCTTGCTTGTAATTATTTTGGGGTTTTGGTTACAGAAATGATTGGGCAGGTCAAGCTGAGAAGACTTACTCAGCCATTTAACTTTTTTTTTTTTTCAGAATGCTACTTCATATTTCTCATTTTTAATATGTTATTATACTGTGGTATATTTGGCAATGTAGCATGAGTTTTCCTTTTGTCCTCTTATATTAACTCTCCCAATTTTCTTGGGTCAGTTACCAAAATCCATTGTTCACGAGAAAAGGTTATCCTCTGTGTTTCTATCAGAAAACAGCAGCAGAAGACCTTATAGATAAAGAGCTGCCTCTGAAATTCGTAGAGGTTGATGAGGAGCAGTCGAGGCTTGTTCTCAGTAACCGCAAGGCCATGGCTGATAGCCAAGCTCAGCTTGGAATTGGGTCGGTGGTCACCGGATCTGTTCAGAGCCTTAAGCCATATGGTGCCTTTATTGATATTGGTGGCATCAATGGCCTTCTTCATGTTAGCCAGATCAGTCATGATCGAGTTTCTGACATTGCTACTGTCTTACAGCCCGGTGACACCCTCAAGGTACTCCCTCCCTCCCTCCGAATGTCTCTTCTTCTATATGGGTCCTTTACTTGGGTATCTTTAAGAGCTAAAAATCCATTGAATATTTCTTCTTGAAAAGGTTATGATACTCAGCCATGACCGCGAGAGAGGGCGGGTTAGCCTGTCCACCAAAAAGCTCGAGCCAACACCAGGAGACATGATTCGCAATCCAAAACTTGTGTTTGAGAAGGTAATTTGATAATTGTGGGGAAAAAGGGAAAAGAAAGAAATAAAATTGTACTTGAATTTGTTTTTAGCATGAAAATCTTGGAATTCACTTTTGATTTTTCCTTGGGGCTTTCAACAGGCCGATGAGATGGCTCAGACTTTCAGGCAACGGATAGCCCAGGCAGAAGCAATGGCTCGTGCTGATATGCTAAGATTCCAGCCTCAGGTATCTCCTATTTTTAGTCACTTAATTATTGAATAATTCCATTTTATTTAGCTTATGCATAGGTGGCAGGCCATGCCGGGTGCTTTGCTGATTTTTTCTAGACCTTGTGAATTATGTTGACATAACCAAACAACTAGTTGAATTGTTCATCATCATCATCATCCTCATCCAAGCCTTATCCTAAATGGTTGGGGTCGGCTATATGAATCATGTTGTTCCATTCCTCTCTATCAAGGGCCATACCCTTGGTAAAACTAATAGTAATCATATTTTTTCTCACTATTTCTGGCCATGTTCTTTGGATCTTCCCTTTGTTTTTTTTAGTGATTTCCACTTGAACCAAATCACGTCTCTTAACCGGTGCTGAATTAGGTCTATGTTGCACATGGCCAGCCACTTAAGTCTATTTTCCCTCATCTTATCAAGTATTGAAGCCATAGAAAAAATAAAAAATAAAATCCTCTGCGAAAAAAAATTATCAGAAAATTACTTTGTAAAGAAAAGGAACGATTGATTGATGAAAGATTGTTTTGTGAGATTCAACGATGCATTTAGTAGCAGTGTTTCAAAAAGCGGACCGCCCAGCGCCTAGGCGGATATCCTTGGGTGCCAACCTGAGCCGCAGGCCGGCGCCCCACCCAAGAGCGAGAATGCGGCTCTTTGAGGGTATTTTGTGGTCATTTTTTTAATACTAAAGGGACAAAATTGTGGGTTTTAGTTTCATTTAAAACCTAAAATCAAGTAGAGAGAGAAACCAAAAAAAAAAAATCTACTGGGCCACCCAGGTTTTGGCGCCCGCCTGGACCCCTTAACCGTCTAGGTGCCGCCTAGCGCGTTTTGAAACACTGTTTAGTAGTTTACATGCACTGCACAAATATTATGCAGATGTATGGACATGAGATTAACCAAGAAAAATGTACAGAGATGACGCTCAATTCACTTAATGGAGTTATTCAGATTTGTGTGTGATTTAGTTAGAGGATGCATTGTTTGATTCGCTTCAATAATTTTTTATTTTTCTTTAAAAGGTACTGTGACAAGTTTAGAAACTGGGGTACATAAAATTGTCCTAGGAGAAACTGATTCACTTCATAGTATGGTATTTACAGTTCTATGAAGTAATTTATAATCTAAGATATGTGCTTATTACTAAGCTTGGAGTTGGCTGTTTCTTTTCATGTTAACAGAGTGGATTGACACTTAGTCCGGAAGGGATTTTGGGTCCTCTAGGGTCGGGTGTGCCAGTGGGCGAGGGGCTTGACTTAAATGATGTCCCTCCCGCCGAAGAGCTGTAAATATGCAGAGTCACTGGTCACAGTCCTTTTGTAATTGTTTCTCTCTCTCTTTATGGTAGAAATTCTTCGGAGATGTGTTTTAATATTTGGCACTATTGAAGATAACTTACAGGTATTTTACTTTGTAATTTGGAAGAAATTCGTTTTAGAAAATTGGTAATGTTTGGTTTGGCCTCTTTTAACTTTACAGAATCGAAAGATTGCATGGATGATGCATTTTACTTTGTAATTTGGCAGAAATTCGTTTTAGCAAATTAAAAATGTTTGGTTAGGCCCCTTTTAACTTTTCAGAAACGAAAGATTGCATGGATGATAGATTTTGAATGGAGAAGGAAAAGGGGAAATTTATGGAAGTGTATCAACTATTTAATATCTTCCCCATTCACTCATATTAACGTTTTTTTATGGGCTTTTTGATATTAAATCGCTTGGATTTTTTATATTAAATAGAAATAAAAGAAGTATTAATAGTTCATCTCTTGATTTTATTGATAAATTTTCCCAATAAGAATAAATTTTAATATCAGATGACCAAGGACCAATCCTCACATTATTTCATGAACAGTGAGAGCCTTGAATGGGAATAGAAGAAAAAAAGAAAGGAAAAGAAATAGAAAATAATGGAGAAAAGAATATCTGAAATTTTAGAAGAAAATCTGGAATTCTAAACTTATCGAATGAGGCTAAAAGATATTTTACGCTTGCAGGAATACGTCCATTTACTCCTCCAGGTAAAACCGTACCTAGAATTAGTTTAGGGTGGTAGTCTTCAACCAATTGATGAACTTCGATATAAAAAAAAATCTAATTGTGCCCAAACAAAAATAATTTTTCGAGATTGAACGGAGACCACCCAATTTTTAGATGGTGAAATCAAAGTGTTTGAAATTTCAAATTTCAAATTTTGTTTTTGAGAATAATCATCTACTAATTCTTATACTTAATTGGTTTCCAAAATTTCAGATTAAAACCCTCCCAAATAGGTCTCATAACCGAGCGGGTAAAGTAAACCCTGCTCCCAAGGGAACATAGTATACATGCGCTCGAATGAAATTGGTATTATTGGATGTTTTTCCATGTAGCACTATACTTTTCTGATTTTTTATCTGTCGGATGTTTTTTCCTTTCATGGGAAAGTTTTTATAGAGTCTAAACAACCAAATTAAAGCCTACCTCAAAACTTTCACTAAAAAAGGTTGTTTTGATGTCCAGATATCATCAAATTGATCATCTCGACATCAAGATGCATGAACATGAAAAAAAAAAATGAATTTCAAGGTTTGAAAGTAGTGCATCTTATAACGCATTATTCAACCGTCAATATTTAAGATTTTCAAGTTTTCATAGATATGGTCGATCTATACTATTCTTTAAGCTTTAACTAAAGATGAAAATATAATTTAAAGCTATCACAAAACTTTCCAGTATTGAAACCATATTTCTCGATACTATTTGAAGGTGAGCTCAAATTTGATTGTTTAGAACCTCAGTTCTATACAAAACGCACCCTTTTCCATATAACACTCAGAAACATACTTCTCTGGCTTTTTATCGCTCTTTGATGGTAAGTCGCTTGCAACTAATGCTCAATGTCAGTTTCCCAAAGCATATACAAAAAACAATTATACCCTTGGTGTAATAGCAGCATATGCAACTAACAAAATCGTACTCAAGCCACGCACCAACATTTCATTTTTACTAGGCGACCACATAAACATAAAGATATACATGAATTTTCCTTACATAAAACATTTTTAAGCGTGAAGGCATCTTACTTTTCTTCACTCAAAATTGCTCTAAGTAGGATACAGGAAAAACTCTAGGTCATTTATCACCAGGTTACTGTGTACTATTCATCTTGTTTGCTGTTCTTCTTTCCTTTCTTTTGTCTTTGTTTAAGCTGAGTGAGACCTGCTGCCGTGATCTTTACATTGCCAATTATTGCCGCCACAAGCTCCGGATCTGTACACGCTTTCATGAGCTCCTTCTCCCTGCCCGTTGCTTCTGGCATATGGCTAAACAGATTCATAGCAGTTTTTGCAGCTGCATCAAACAAACCCTATACATGAATAACAAATCTTTTACACCAAATCTCTCTCTCTCTCTCTCTCTCTCTCTCTCTACTACTATATATATATATATATATATATATATATA